CTTTTTTAGTATATAAGTGCTTTGTTAGCAATTCTTTGTTAGTAATTCTATCGATCGAAGTGGAGTCGAAAGAGATGAGTTTTCAGTCTCCCCCGGAAGATGTGCAAGCTATCTGCTGTCCTGATTTCAATGGGGAGCTCATTCCACCATTTTGGAGCCAGGATANTTAACCCATAAGAACCTGGACCAATTTCTGGCTCAATAAAAATTAGTGGGAGCATAACACAGGTTGAATAGAGCACATAGAACACATGTCTAAAAAAAAAATCTTTTTTTTTTAGACATGTGTTCTATGTGCTCTATTCAACCTGTGTTATGCTCCCACTAATTTTTATTGAGCCAGAAATTGGTCCAGGTTCTTATGGGTTAAAAAAGTTAAAAACAATAAATTGCTTTTGGCATTGAAATGGATTTGACCTTTTTCCTGGATGTCAGGAAGGCCAGGAAGTCGTTCCCTTCAAGTCTGCAACCAGTCATAGGAGTTCAAATGCAAAGCCTGAACGATGACAAGAGCGGGAGACTTACATTTTACAATTATATTTTTAATTAATACCAGAGCAGTGTGTACATAGTACGACATGCAGATAACAGATCAAATCCCTTGACAGACTCACACTTTGGTGATGTCCTCATCTGATAATGTTTCATTTTTTAGCAGCAAAGTAACATTACTCAAAGTATATGTCGGACCCAACTAATTTACAGTAAGTTTTGCATCTCCTCAACAATGGTTTGTACAATCATTGAGTAGAAAAAAACTGTCCCTACAATTTCAGGTAGATTAACACACATTTTTGAGAAAAGTTTACAATGAAGTACAAAACCCCTCTTTGTATTAAGCGAGCTGCCACACAAAGTACAGATTAACATGCTAACCTTTGGTAGAGAGCTACAGTTAGCTAACTTCATGTTCAACACAAAACCTTTAATGGCATTATATTGACGATTTTAAACAAAACGCAACTCTCTCAACTTGTAAGATAACGTTAAGTTAACTTACCCTTAAATAACTACATCACATTTTTCAGGGGAAACACATACTGCAGAAAACGTTAGCTGCTAACTGTTGTTAGCTAAGACAGCTAACCTCCTAGCAAACGTAAGGTTAAGTTAACATTAACGTAACGTCGTAAGAAAGCAAAAGGAACCTTCGAGAAAGCTTTTACTCTAACACTTGGTGAAATTGTGTAGTGTTGCTTACCTCCAGAAGGACTTTTAGCGCGTTTCCCAGTAGACAGAGCTGTCAGAGCGGTGCCTCTCAGAAGAGCAGCCGCTGGACGGAGTCAAAGAAACGCTCAACTGATCTTCACTCCTCGACCGTTAACCATGCCAGTCAATACATACCGCTTTGTTTCAACCACTGTCGTCTCGCCGTTCCCCCGTGTCCCGCCCTCTCGGTCTGTCTGTCTGTCTGTGTCTGTTTCAGTTTCGCCAGCAAGACTGCTGGTAGACCAGCATAAATACCAGCTTCACCAGCATAGACCAGTTTAACTACCAGCTAAAATCTTTACAGTCTATGGCTAAAACCAGCATAGACCAGCATGACATCCATGCTGGGCTATGCTGGTTTAGCTGACCAGGCTGGTCTTGAACCAGCAAGAACAGCCAGGCCAGCTTGTCCAGCCTGGTAAACCAACTAAACCAGCCCAACACCAGCTAAAACACCAGCTAAAACCAGCTAAAACAAGCAACCACCTTAAGCTGGTCTATGCTGTTTTTTTCAGCAGGGGCTACATACCTTTCATCACATTCAGAACAAAGTGGAATTACAGTAGATACAACAAATAGTTTAATGTTGCTAGCATGTATGTAAACACATTTTTACTGCTGTTGTGAAAGTCTTCTGCAACTCAATAATATTTTTAATAAAACATGGACATTTTTTTATTTTAATATTTAAATATCTGGAGTTTAATGAATGTCCCCTTTATCCAGAAAAGCTATTTGCTTGGACTTTGATGTGAAAACTTGAATTAATATTACCTGCAGAGTGTGTTCCTGAAACTGAATGGAGTGGATTTCTGGAGCTGTGCCCATCCCAATTATATGCCAGAACACATGATGACGGCTCTGACAGATTGTCAAACCTACACAGAAAATATATACAGAGAAAATTAGGTCCAAATACCCGTGCAGACCCCGTACAGTGCAGCCTCGATACACAGTGTTAGCAACGCGACAACATGGAACAAACACCATGTCCACAGCCGGTCTGGTTCTTTACCGGGTAACGTAGAGTTGACGTATCCATTGATGGTGTGGTATTCCTTTATGCCCATACTCCTCTTGAACATCTCTCTGCTCTTCCTCTCTCCCACCTCTCCATACCAGCTCTTGCTCTCATCAAACACGGCAAACAGCAGGACAAATGCAGGATTTCTCCTCTGGCCATCATCTGTGAAGGCACCTGGAAAAGACACACAACCATACACTCAAAATATGTGAGGACAAATATGAGAATATGCTTGGGATTCTAACGCACAGTTTAACTTCACACGAATATCACAGTAACTTCACTTATTTTCTAATATCCCTTTTTCAAAAACGTTGTCCAGAATGAAATATTCCAACAGTTTATGAATGGGTTGCCCAATATTTGTTTCAGATATCAAAATACCCATTTATTTCATTGCTACTGTGATTACCTCACTTTTCCTTTAGCGACAATAAGGATGAAATGTGTAGTTTTGAGTTAAAAGTCTCAACAAGTATTGAAAAGGTATTATTGATATAGTTTAAATCCATTCAAAACCTTTTTTTTGTAACCAAATGTGAGTTTAATGAGTAAATTATATTAACACACAAGACATAATGAGTGTTTTTAGGTGAAAAGATATGCTGGGTATTTGCCCTTTGCCCTACTAACTTGATTTGCAGATGAGCAGAGCACCAATGAGTCCTGAGTTTACATCTCGGACCGTGTCCACCTGGGATGAGTAGGAGTAGGTGAGGCACTCGGGGTCACTGGAGGTGGGACCGTCATTTGGGCTGATGTCCCACACATACTCATAGTATCCTCCAGGAGAGACGGCATCATCCTCCTTCTCCGGGCCTGCTGTGGAGTCATCGTACCCGACTCCTGGAAAGAAAGAACCATAACAGCATGAATCCTCAGCAGTAAACGTGCAAAGTTGGAAATCTGATGTCACTGCCTTTTGAAAATGAAGGACATTGAAAATAACATTTAAAATAATACTGAAATACAGAAATTATTTAGTTACATTACAGGAAACACAATTATTAGAAAATTAAATAAAGCTGGGAACATTTTAGAGATAAAACCATACTGTACAAAATCAAGGTGAAAGTAAGACCACATTTTACAATGCTGTAAAAACGGGGAAGCATTGACTCATGATAATGTGAGATAAGGACGTAAACCGGACATGTGCACACAGACAGACATGAAGCAACCTTTTTCTTCATCCTAAATATCACATCGTCACCTTCTTAAACTAATGGCCTTAGTCATATTTTGGAGAAAATGTTTTTTTGCCTAAATCATCTCTTCTTGATGCTGGCCACCTCTGGTAAAATTGCCTACATCCTTATTGAAAGGTTAGTGCTGTTCCTACCCTGATAGTATAATGGCCTATGTCAAGAGTGTGACTTAGGCCATATATTTAAAAAAGATAATGGCCTAAGTCACATTGTCTTGTGACTTAGGCCATTTTACAAGCTTTACAAAATGGCTGCTTCAAGAAAAAGAAAAACTAACAGATAAATTAAGTTATTTTCATGGTTCAGGGCTTATCCCCTGTTGGTAAGTGATGTTATACTATATTATACTATAGGCTAGGCTATAAATGTTGTGTAGTTATTTAGTCTTTTACTTTCACAATGTATGGTTACTGTAGCTACCAAAGCTACTGTAGGTACTATAGTTACTGCAGCTAATGCACCGGTATTAAGTTAATTTTTTGTAATAAAAGCGATTATCTACTTTACATTACACCTTTTTCCTCTGTTTATTATGTTATAACGTTTAACTTACACGGAAAAGTTATTAATACGGTCATTAGAACATGCAATGAAAGACTTTCCAAATCTAATCAAAAATCTAATCAGAAATGACAGGTCTCCCTACACACGACGGAAGTACCTCGAT